GCTGCTGCTCCAGCCACGAGCGCAAGCTCCGGAGGGGCCGCAGCCGGGCCGGGAGAAGGAGGGAAGGTCGGCTCCGGGGTTGGACGTGTGTTCTGCACTTTCAGCTCCCGGGTTGTGGCGAGGAGTCGGAGTGTGGACGTCCAGGGTCACGTTCACGTGTGCAGCTCCGCACCTGGGTGAGCAGCTTCTCTTTGGACACTCTCCCCGCTGCTCTTGGGGACAGGGAATTGTATCTGATCTCTTGCGCCAGCTTCACTGCTCTTCTGTCTCCCTCTCATCCCGGCGCCGCTGCTCGGAAAGCAACAGGCCTGTCCTCCTCTTGCTCTGCAAGCTCAGGTGCTGCCTCGTCCGACCGGGGCCGCGCTGGAGGTGCAGTCCACGTACGGGTGAGCCACCCCGGTAAGAAACTGCCAAGCAGCTCCGCTCCCTCCTGGCCCCATCGCTTCAGCACAGGGCAGGGAAGGAGACACCCAACCGCCTCCTGTCCCCTCCTAGGACCCCAGCACCGAGGCACGAGCGTGTCACTTCATCCTGGAGTAGGGGAGGCTCCAAAAACTCCTTCTCCTTGGGCTGGGATGGTGACCTGGCCCAGGAGCAGCCTGGGAACCACTCACTGCTCTGCCGCGGCTGTGGGACACATCGCTGTGGCTGTCTCAGCGTCCTCAGGAGTTGAATTTAAGGTGTATCAAACACGGGAGGCAGGACTCCTGCCCAGGGATCTCTGTCCTCAGTCGCAGAAGGATGTCGGCAGGAGACGCCGGACCATTTGCATGAAGACAAGTTTCAGTACTGGACCCAAATAAACTCCTTGTCCCACTCCTCCTTCACTGACCCAAATAAACTCCTTATCCCACTCCTCCTTTGCTAGCTTGGTCCAGTCCTCAAAAAGCTTTTCCTTCACGTGGGCGACTTGTGCTCCGAGCGTCTCTTTTTCAAAACTTTCCTTCAGATGAACCGTAAACTGCCATCTTCCTAAATTAATCTCCTGCAAGACCCTCGCCTAAACCTACACTTGCACCACTCCTGCCTTCACCAAAACCCCAGTAATGCTTAAACCCCTGATGGGAAGCAACGCTTCCCACCTCCTTGCTTGCCCTTCTCCTTGCACTTCGGACCAGCAGTGTAAGAATTTGTGAAGACTCCCTGGCCACACGAAGTGGTCTGGGACCCACTTCCAGGCCATCTCAACGGAGGTTCCTTTTCTTTTCCCTGATCCGAAATCCCCCAGGCCACCACCAAGCCCAAAGCGAAGGGCACGCCCGCGGGTTTGTGCGTTAAACCTCGCGCCGAGGTCAAGCCCCCTTCCCGAAAGAGCCTGCGGCGTGGTGCAGGGGCCACCTTCCCGCGCAGACCTTATCTCGCTGTCCCTCTCCCCGCCTGCCACCCAACCATTTCAGCAGCATCGAACCTCGCAGCGACACCCATGCTCACCCATCCCCGGGACCTTACCCCCGAGCCGATGACCATTCCCAGGCTCCGGCTTTTCTCTTCCAGCAGGATGAAGCTCAAAGTAATCCAGGGAGGGAGGAACCGCTTGGCTCATCCATCCATTGAGGAGGCAGAAAGTTTCCCTGGCTGCGCACGGCGTCCTGCTCCGCGGGATGGACCTGGGGGGGTCAGGGGGAACCCCGGCAGCCTTGGGGCCCAGGCATGCTACTCCTCGGGCAGGAGTGCGAGCGGGCCACCGCGCGTTGAGATGGACACCCCAAGGAGGCATGTGCCCCATACGCTATATATACACCCCAGCCTCGCACGCCGGGTCTGACACCGGCTGCCTCATTGGCCGCTCCGCTGCTCCCCCCCTCATAAATATTAAAGTCAAGAGAGGGGATGCCATTGGCTGTGCGGGAGGTTGGAGCCCCCGGGAGAGGAGGGAGG